TAACACATTTACTTGAAGACAGTCTTCTATGCAACATCTTTTTGGTCAGATGGAGGCTAACTCAGAAGAAGTGTGTATTGAGAAGTATGGCCTGATTCACTAACAAGCACGCTAAAGCACACTATGATTGAAACCTTCAAAATTTTGGTGTTATGAATAAAAAGCATTTGGAAGAACCTGATGTTTGTGTTTTGAATTAATATTAGTTCCTGTGCATTAAGTCTCAGGAGTTGCACTGAGGTTACACAAGCATCTGTACATTCCCTTGCTGCTGTTCTTTCCTCCAACTGCTGATTGTGACCCAAGCAGTTATCTTTCTTTTTCTCCCCTTGTTCCTCTGGTATCTTTACAGAGACGATGTCAATCTTTCTGGCACACCAGACGTGGCAATATAAGGAAAGCACCTTGATATTGTATAATAAAGAGAGATAAGATAGAGCTGTTAGAGAAGGAACGATAGCTAAGCTCATTTTCAAGAGTGTTTAAAACCAGAACATACATATGTATCAGTACGTTCCCACAAGAATGTGCCTTGAGGCTAGCAATCAGTGCTGGGATGGGGGTTGTGTAATATATTCCTCAGTACCTTGGAATCTGAGCCCACAAATATTTGTTTTATGGGTGACCTACTCAACCATGTCAAGTTATCTATGCATGTACCTGGTTATGGGATTTGGCACTTGGACTAGGATTTAATTCTGGTGGAGACTGCATGTAACAGGACACAGCAGACAGGCACAGACTCAGTCTGAATGGGTGTCTCCATGGCCATCAAGCAGCTCCTATTTTCTGCAGGTGGTCCAATAGGGCACTGTCAGCATCTGTTGCTTCATCCACCCAGGTAAAATCGCCTCTGATAAAAGCAAAGCTATGTAAAAGCTGTATGAAATGAAAGGGTTACAATACATTTTGGTCACTTCTCATTTGGATATTTCTGAGACTAAGTTGTGACATGACACTTAGAGCCAGATTTGAAAGGCCCGGCATTTCCTTTTGACTTCATGGCTGTGGACACACTACTGTGCCTCCCCTTTACCCTTGCAGGAACCTGCATCCGTGCAAACATCATAGGAGCAATTGCAATGTGAAAAATAACCTGGCAGTCAGATGCTCACATCACACTGCACCCAAAAAGAGACTGAGGGCAGGATGGAAAGAAGAACTGTAGATGCTGGTGTGTAGGTAAACCATGCTCTCCATGGGGGTAACTCATCAAGCCAGACCCCCATCAAACTCAGCTGTTGCCAGGTGTGTGGCCTCCTACACTTCCAAACAAGCTTCTCCCCGAGCCGTGTGCCCTGAGCCCACAGCTGGGGAATGGAAGAGAGACGATGTCAGCTCTTTGCCACCTGGGACATGGGTGCATTGGGAAAATCCTTCTGGGTCATTTTAGCTGGCTTTGGGAGAAGACACGAAGTTACCTTAATGCATGGCAGGATCTAATGGCACAGGCACAAAAGTAGTGTTAGAAGGATTGCTTTTGTTTTGAAGAGGTACTGAAATGCTAGTATGGATATGCTGATGTGTTAATAGATGCCTCTGACACAAAGATCACGTTAAAGCCATGCATCTCTCTGCAGCAGAGTTCTCCAAGTGGGGGAACTTTTCAAATCACCTTACATCAGCATTGTCAGAAAGTCGGTATGCCTGATCACATGCTCATTTGCCACATGCATTATCCCTGGGTCCTAGCAAATGGTGCACTCATTTGAGTGTATTGCTGTGACAGAAAACCACCAGCAAACAAACAAAAAAAATCCCCAAAAGTCAGCACAGGTCTAGTTGAAAAAAAAGGACAATTCCTCTTATGCATAGCAGGGATCAGACAACTCATAGTACCCTGTCATAAACATTAATTATCCTCAGCGCTACAAGATACAGGTGGGATACTGAAGGTTCTCAATAGGGTGGCACACCCTGATAGTGTAACCTGACTTGCAGGAATGGTCAGGATCCAGATTTGCTCTCCCTAAAAGAAAACATAAGTTATAGGAATAGCTCTTGACAGATGTCAGAAGGGGAAGGATGAAAGAGAGAGAGAGCATATCAGCCTTACCGAAGGTCTCCAGTAAAACAAAGAAATGACACTGGGGAAAAAAAAAAAAGGAGGTTAACTTAGCTTGGAAATGGAGAAAATTGCCTGAGAAGTTCTGTCAGAGCACGTAACAGTTTGCTTAATGGTGTGGTTCACTTCCAAAATGCTGAGTAGGCACAGACTCAGTCTGAATGGGTGTCTCCATGGCCATCAAGCAGCTCCTATTTTCTGCAGGTGGTCCAATAGGGCACTGTCAGCATCTGTTGCTTCATCCACCCAGGTAAAATCGCCTCTGATAAAAGCAAAGCTATGTAAAAGCTGTATGAAATGAAAGGGTTACAATACATTTTGGTCACTTCTCATTTGGATATTTCTGAGACTAAGTTGTGACATGACACTTAGAGCCAGATTTGAAAGGCCCGGCATTTCCTTTTGACTTCATGGCTGTGGACACACTACTGTGCCTCCCCTTTACCCTTGCAGGAACCTGCATCCGTGCAAACATCATAGGAGCAATTGCAATGTGAAAAATAACCTGGCAGTCAGATGCTCACATCACACTGCACCCAAAAAGAGACTGAGGGCAGGATGGAAAGAAGAACTGTAGATGCTGGTGTGTAGGTAAACCATGCTCTCCATGGGGGTAACTCATCAAGCCAGACCCCCATCAAACTCAGCTGTTGCCAGGTGTGTGGCCTCCTACACTTCCAAACAAGCTTCTCCCCGAGCCGTGTGCCCTGAGCCCACAGCTGGGGAATGGAAGAGAGACGATGTCAGCTCTTTGCCACCTGGGACATGGGTGCATTGGGAAAATCCTTCTGGGTCATTTTAGCTGGCTTTGGGAGAAGACACGAAGTTACCTTAATGCATGGCAGGATCTAATGGCACAGGCACAAAAGTAGTGTTAGAAGGATTGCTTTTGTTTTGAAGAGGTACTGAAATGCTAGTATGGATATGCTGATGTGTTAATAGATGCCTCTGACACAAAGATCACGTTAAAGCCATGCATCTCTCTGCAGCAGAGTTCTCCAAGTGGGGGAACTTTTCAAATCACCTTACATCAGCATTGTCAGAAAGTCGGTATGCCTGATCACATGCTCATTTGCCACATGCATTATCCCTGGGTCCTAGCAAATGGTGCACTCATTTGAGTGTATTGCTGTGACAGAAAACCACCAGCAAACAAACAAAAAAAATCCCCAAAAGTCAGCACAGGTCTAGTTGAAAAAAAAGGACAATTCCTCTTATGCATAGCAGGGATCAGACAACTCATAGTACCCTGTCATAAACATTAATTATCCTCAGCGCTACAATACACAGGTGGGATACTGAAGGTTCTCAATAGGGTGGCACACCCTGATAGTGTAACCTGACTTGCAGGAATGGTCAGGATCCAGATTTGCTCTCCCTAAAAGAAAACATAAGTTATAGGAATAGCTCTTGACAGATGTCAGAAGGGGAAGGATGAAAGAGAGAGAGAGCATATCAGCCTTACCGAAGGTCTCCAGTAAAACAAAGAAATGACACTGGGGAAAAAAAAAAAAAAAGGTTAACTTAGCTTGGAAATGGAGAAAATTGCCTGAGAAGTTCTGTCAGAGCACGTAACAGTTTGCTTAATGGTGTGGTTCACTTCCAAGGACAATGCTGAGTTTGAGGGATGTTTTCCAGCTTTATCATGTACTCATCTAGAACATGCTACCAAATGGGCTATTGTATACTCAGGGGCTTAATACCTCTCTCAATATAGATTCAGCTAAATATCTGTAAAGGGTGCCAATCTGTATTTTGTTTTGCTTGGATAGTAACTACCACTTGTTTATTTACAGGGCACTGACAGTGTGTGTTCATCGCTTTACAGACATGTGCCTTTTGACAAGAAAAAAGCCCTGGCATCCTACAGCTCATTGTGGGTTCCCTGCTCTGTGGGTACTAAAGTGACCACGCAGCCAGAAAGCAAGGAGGAGATTGGTAGGGCCAAAAGTGGGTTTAACCAATCTTTTGTGCTGTCTCAGTTCTGGGGATTACCCATCTGAGTGGAGTTCAGAAGTGTCCTGTGAATATTTATGTGGGAAGCGGATGGTGCCTGTGGCTAGCACCTATAGGAAACAAAGGAAAAAGTGGAAACCTGTGGATGTTATTATTAGCAGTGCTACAGAACAGCCTACACCATCACACACCTGTTTGGCAGCTGGCTTTGTGAGCATACTACTCACACCAGCATTTAAACCACTTGTAATTTCACCTTGACCTTTAGATTTTCGTCCATGCTTATACACAGCTAAAACCACCTCATTATCCTGGGCTGTCTGCTGATCAATTATCCTTGAAAATTCCCCTACTAACAGTCCCACCTGTTTGTATTATTCTGGAACTATGCAATATACTGTGCTACATATTTTTCCCCAAGCTGCCAGAGAGCTCTGTAACATATAGCCAGGCCTCTCACCTTCCTCATGCCTCTCATCTTCCAAAAGTATGTATGGCAGGCTATCTCCTCTCACAGGTGTAATCAGCAGCATTACCCTTACTTACACACTTCACTAAAGGAAAAAAGCTCATTTTATGGCTTCCTGCGTTTCCTTATCAATTGCCTGATGCATGGCTCAGTCTGGCACAAAAGCTGGTTTGTGAGGGGAAAGCAAGAATACCTCACTTTCTCTGTTGTGCCCCACAATGTTGTTTTTTTCACCCAAACATATTTCTGTGGATTGTCTAACTAAGGGCTGCTGTGACCTGCAGGTTTGCAGTCCACCTTACCTACCAAGGACAGGATACTATACACACACTCTACATATGTTTGCATGTTTTGTTTTTTTCCTAAATCATATATTTTACAGGTGTGGCTAACAGCAGGACAAGTACAAATGCAGATGTGACTATTTATTTGATCTTGTGTGCTGCAAGGAACCAGTTGACTGAATCCCGACATGCAATTCTCAACACTGTCATTGCTAGGTGCGTGGCAATGCCGTGGCGCTATCCACACAAGCTCCCCAAGCACTACAGACCAGAGCGCGTGTTCCAGCGTAGGGGCGGCTGGTGCCTTTCTGACATGCCTCAGGTCCCCCGAGCGGCTGTGCTGGAGGCAGGAGTGACATCCTCTGAATCCCTGTCACCGTGCCAGGCCCACTGCATCGCCGTGCCTCCACCGTGAGCTATTCCACTCCAGCCGTCGCCACTGCCTTGCATATTTGATATCACATTATGCATGTAAAAAAATTCTGCACCTACATGCAAGTGACTGTGTTTCATACATCTTGATAGCCCATTCATTTCCACTGAAAATAACAGCTTGATATTTTGCTCTTCTGCCAACAGGCAGGGACTAACGAAAAGTGCTCTGCTTTCATTTTCTACTTTGAAAGGGACAAAAATCTTACATCCTAAGAAAAGCAAAAAACTCAAATAGGAAAGAATAAAAAAACCAAGAACATTATCTAATTATTGATTCCAGTTTGACCCTGATTATACCTACTGATTATAGCATTTTCAACCCCTGTAAGCACAACGCTTGCCTGACATCGAAGGTTTCCAACAGAAGAGTACTGCTAATGTTCCTCAGATTCATTTTCACTTTTGGCTCATTTCAAACCTTTTCTAATTTCTGTCTACTGCAGACAGAAATCAGTAATGGCCATGCTGATCCTTTTAAGGTAGTTATGGAGTAGTAGCAATCCAAGGAAAAAAAATCCTTGTCACTTTATGCTCCTTGTCGGACAAATATATAAGGAATCAGTGTCTTCAAACACATCTGCAAATCACCTACACAGAGTATTTTTCAGGTTCGCATCACAGCCTCAGCTTCTTGGAGCTACACTGGAAACCACAAGACTGGTCTCATGGAGGGCCAGACGGTATTGCTACAGGGACAGTTTTGCAGGAATGGTATGCATGCTACCAGATCAGTCCCTGCATATGTAACTGGTAGTCTCTCCTTGCCCTGTTGTCTCATCTCTTTCTGCTTCTAAACTTTTTCCACTGGGGCTCTTCTGGTTCTAAATATTGTTTTAAAATCCAGGAAAACAAAAAATGAAGACAATAGTGCAAACGAAGGTCTTTACAGCCTCCTGAGCTCTCTGTTTCTTCTCATACTGCTTGTGAATGCTGCTTCTGTAGTATTTGTGGTTGAGAACTGACCACAAGAAGTCCTAAAACCTGAAGGCAGTGTTACAAGCCTGAAAAACCTGTCCAAAACTTTAGCAAAAAGCATCAGGTTAAACACAAATGGTGTTTGTGTCAACTTGTTCGCACAGTAACATTTCTACCGACTTCACCAGTGCAAATGTTCGGTCAGGACAGAAACCAGGAGTACTTATCTCAGCATCACGCAACTTTGAGACTGTATACTCCACATGAGAGATACCATGAAAGATCAAGGGAACAGGACAATGTATTGAGGGTCTTCACCATATCCTTTCCTCTAAAACAGTACCAAGATCCTATCTTACACACACAAAAATTTACTGCATCTTTAGCCCAATTATTTTACCTAATATTGGCACAGACAGGTATATTCTTGCACAGATACTGTCATGTTTCACAGAAGACTGTTCTGAGGTCAGGTGTGAAATTAGAGGCAATGTTTAATATGGTCTGGACGGTGTTCCTCTTTGATAAACGGGTGTTGGTCAAAGAATACTCAGTGAATGTGAATAAAACCTGCTAGCCAACTGCTAGTTTTCATTGCAAGAGTAGATCTGTGAAACCCACAATGTTTAACTCAGTGCTACTGAAATCTGGAATAACCTGTGAAACTGGGATAGCTTTAGAGTGGACGTGGAAATAGTAATTGTTGTCACCATTTCAAGTTTATTTTTGAATCTCAATTTGGACAACACGACTTTTTTGCTGTAAATAGACTCTTTGTTTATGTTTTCTCTTTTTAAACTACAAAGACTTTCTTCCATGTTAACTAGCAGTGACTGTGTCTTGCATCTTTCAGCCATATATCCAGAATAACAGAGGTGAAAATTGTGACTGTGATTGACATATGTGCGTTGCTGTACTTGCTTGTGCAGTTACAGTCCCAAGTCACAAACATGCTCAGTTAGCTGCCTAAGCATAAGGAATTACAGTCACTACAAATAAAAAAATGTAGAAGCATAACATTTGAAAATGTAGCTTTTTAATTCTGATTAAAAATTTCGTTCTGATGACTAATTTAATCACTTAACTCTCACAGCTACCATAGCGAGCTGTAGGGACTAGAACTGAGAAAAATAAAAGTAACCAGAAAAATGTAGAGCTTTAATGTGCCCATTATGAAATCAGTGCCAAAACTCTTAAACACTTGCAGTTCTAGCAATGCCAGGCCATACACTTGCGACAGACCCAGTGACTCTCTCTATTTGTGTATGGCAGTTTTGCTTTCATGCACAAATATCCTTGCACGTGCTCCTAGTACAGGCCAGCTTTGCCAGCCAGCCATTTTCCTCACGCACCTAGGAACCCCTCTCTTTTCTGCAGGGCACACTTCCCTAGAGAACCTTCATTATATTGGTAATGCATTCTCACTTATCTGCGTCTGACTTATCTGAGGTTTTTGGAGTGCTGCTGAGCGTGGCTTGAGTTAGTAGACTCCTGGCCTTTAGGTGACAGGAGGAAGAAAAGCTGCTGACAGCTCGAAGTAGGCAGCTAGTTTTTCGCAGGAGCCACAGAAAAGGCCAACTAAAGGGAAGGCACAAGAACGTTCATCACACTTGACTGCGTTGATAACCAGTAACAAAAAAGTAGCATAGGAACTGATAAATTAAAAACTCACGATGAAAACGAAGTGGCAGAGACAGCTGCTGAGTAAGGTCTTGAAGCCCCAGCATGGCTGATGCTGTCAGTAGTGTGACCTATGCAGTGTGCCAGTTTCAAACACAAGCAGCTGCTGAGGTTGTTGATTGAATATACAAATGTGTACCAGGGAGAGCATCCAACTTTTTGCTGTGTTGAGGTTTGGCCAAGCCTAAAACTTCTGTAATTTTGCCAGAGCACATTTCTGTCCTCTGCTTGCTTGCCAGATCTAAGAAGGAAGGTATTTTGGAAGACTGGGACTTAAACTTAGGACTATCATCTTCGTCACATTCAAAATGATTTTAAGAAAATCTTTGAAGCTTAAGTAACACATTAGGAATCATTTGTGTTTTACTGGCATGCCTGCTGTCTCTTTTTGCTTGTTTGTTTCAAGTACAGTTGCGGGAAACATTTTCTTTTTCCTTTTATAACAGCAAAGGGAGATGAACAAGAAAAGAATTACAGAAGAGCCAAGAATGGGAGATGATGTGAAAATACATGAGGTAGAGAATGGAAAAAAAGAAGGAAAGAACTGGAGGAAAAAAGGAAGGAACAGGATAAATTATTAAGAGATAAGATGCAGTTGTCATTTACACAGTTATAGATCAGGAGAGGGTGAAGAACACTAAAATGATGTGCTCCTGTTCATTTGGGACCCTTGGATTTGTCACGTGGATTTGTTCAGGTTTTTTCATTTCCCTTTCGGTCTTCCACTTCACTTTTACTGTGAAATCTAGACTTCAATCAGGGTTCAAATAAAGGTTTACTTTCTTGAAAGATATAGGCTGTGTTTTACAGAAAGGGAAAGGAAATGGTAGTTTAGATGAGCAGATATTTCTGTGGACATTATGAACACAGACTTTTTTTATTCCTACCATCTACATTCTTCTATAAACATTTACTAAAACTAAGCTTCTGACTCCAGGCCTCTTTCTATATCTTGTGCTTTTAGTTTCTTTGGAGATGCCTTCTACACAGAACAAAACGTGAAAGCCAAGCTACCGTTCCTTGCCATCATGCCACAATGCAAAGTCCGTTCTACCTAAAGCACAGATTTAAGCAAAAATGAGTAAGGGTGAGTGGAACAGGCACTCATCTGGGGAACAGAAAAGAGATCTTCTGCACTGCCACTGTCTAGTCTGGAGCTCCTCGACTTCTGGGGCAAGGGCGGGACAAGGAACCGGAGGACACTGACACTGAGCTGTGGCTGCAGAGCAACAAACCTTTGTGTGTCCAGCCTCTCAGGTCTGCTAGCACTGCAGGATAGGTCTCACAGGGAGAAGTGATGACGACTATCTGTCCTCATCAAACGAAGGGGAGCTGATGGCGCCCGTATGGAGCCAGTTTGGATCATCCTGTAAAGAGGGATAGAGACAGCCACAGGGCTGAGTGCAGGCTATGTTACCCATAGACAGGAAGAACTTGCTGTTGGTTTCTAGAAAGAAAAAATACCAAAGCTATGCCTTCAGTAGCTATCAGGTGCTTCTCAGATGACACCTGGTGGACAAAAACTAAAGAGATGAAAAGCAGCCTGCCTTCACAGTGCAGAACCGTACCATCCCTGCTCGCATCTGCACTACTGCACCTACTGCCGGTGTACCTACCAGGTGCCCTCCCTACTCCTCTTATCCCCCCACAGAGTGCATTATTTCAGCACCCCAGAATAAGCACATATCATCCATGTACCTATAATAGCCTTTTTCTTTGCACCTGCTTACTTTTTTTCCATATTCTGGCTGATGCCCCGAGTTGGTTTAATTCTGATCTGTGAGTCTGAGGCTAGACTAGAAGGGAGACATTGTTTTCCGAAATAAAACTACAAGGAAAGCCCATGTTGTTCAGCAGCAACTAGGTGCTTTTATAGTCTAGGATACCTAGACAATTTTGTGAATGCCTTCACAAGTGGACAGTTGTACCCATAGGGTTAAAGGCTTTGATTTCTTCTGACCATTAATTTACTTTGTCTTTTAAACTACTTTCAGTTTGCTTCTCTAACACCAGCTGTCTTTTCTGTTTGACACTTTACAACTGCACTAATGCATTCTTGTTGAGGACCCAGAGAAAAGGCACCAATAAAAAAACCCTAACACTCTGAGTTCACCTGGAGAGAAATATTTACTTAGAGAAGTCTTTCTTCTGGGCATCCACATGCAGTGAGTTGGATGCTTATGCCTCCTGTTAAGATAGGCGGTTTTCTCAGGGATCACATGGATGGGAACACAACATTACTGTGCAGTTCTTTTTCTCTATTTGGTTTGAAAATAGGAGA